ATACTGCCCAAATCTTTCAAAATTAAATTCAAATAATGTACAGCACAAGATGACTAATATATATTATTAAATCTTTCATGTAAGAGCTCTCCTGCTTTCTTATAATTAGTAGCATTATCAGTGACAAACTGAATAACATTTTTTGGCCCTACCCACTCAATAACCTCAGTAAATAAAGAACACAAGTTTGAAGCATCTTTAATGATATCTGACGCATCCACTAATTTTCGAAAATATACACCACGGGGATAATAAATCATAAATTTTATTAATGTTCTACTTCTACCATTTGTCCATCCATCTGCCATAAGAGTACAACCTATGTCCTTCAAAGTATTTCTATAACTATCAATGAGTAACCTACACTCCTATTTACAATCCTTTAGTAGGTTAGCCCTCATGTTGTGGTAAGAGGGGAGCTTGTAACCAGGACCTATAACAACTATAGCATCCACAGCTTTTTGTGCATATGGTGAGTTTAAGGCATTGAAAGGGATACAACAATAAAAAAACCATCTTGCTACAACTATGTCTGCATGGTGAACTACTTCTTTAGATGCCAAGATACTTATAATTGAAGGTTGAGAATTTGATTTTGTTCTTGGAGCAAAGAAAGTGTCAATCTCAACAAGCTTTCTTTTCCCCTTTTCAAGTTCTGATAGATTTGCTTCAGATTATTGTGATTTAGGCAGGGAAGAAGAATCCCTTCCTTCGTCTACTTCATCATCTAATGGAAAAGGTATACTATCCAACTCCTCCTGTACTTATTGTTTTCTTTTTGATATCTCCTTTAAGTTCTCCTGCATTTGAAATCGAACATAATGTGGAACTTTCTTGCACGCTGCTATATTGCCCTTAACTCCTAGTAGATGCCGTTTCATTCTATTTATTCCTCCTCCTTTGTATGTTATGCCACAATGAAAACATTTGAATTGTCTCTTCCCATCAGATCCTTTCATCTCAATGAAATGATTCAACACAATATCCACTTTTTCATGTACACTACAACTAGAAGCTGCACTATGAGTTCCAAATGCTTCCATTCTCATATGATCAACTAAATAAAATCAACATTGATACGTCATCACAAAATTAGCTTGATCGGGCACGAATCTCGAGGCAAAAGCTAGTTGGAGACTTCAAAAATTAAATCCGGGAGCATCCGAACTCCGATTTCAACGAGCTTATAGTCAAACTGAGCGTCTCGGAAATACAAACCCAACGACACCAAGATCAACCC